AGGTTTAATCACTCACATTCATAGCAGATTTTTCGGTGATGTTTAAATTATTTTTCAATACTTATGTTTCTTTTCTTATTTTCAGTTTCAATCGCTTAGACCTTCCACCCTATAAGAATTATGAGCAGTTGAAGGAAAAGTTGTTATTCGCAATTGAAGAAACAGAAGGATTTGGGCAAGAATAACTAGTTATAATTTGCACCTTGAAGAATGTGAACTCAACACATGATGTATGTTCTTCACTTCTGCTTGTTGCACACTTCATTGTAAAGTAGACTCGACTTGGATTTATTTAACATACTAGTGTGTAAGTAAATGGATGTTATCCTGAGGTTTTACCCACATTAACTCTGGATTTCTACTGAGCACTTTCAGAAATCAAATGAGCAATCAGATGAATTATGAACTAAGATATTTAAAACAGCTTTGGGCTCTGCTGTATCTCACTGTTCATTAATTAGAATGTGTCCTTAACGACAGACGGATTTTTAAGAATAGTTTTGTCTTTCCTTTTTAGTAGCATTTTTTGCTACTGATGCACTGGGAAGTTCATTGGTAGCTGCAATGCTGCAGCATCCTCATAAGCCTCTTTGCAGCAGTGTTATTAGAGCCAGCCTGTAGCCACCCTCTGGGTACTGTAAGCAGATTTGTTGCTTATGCTATTTTTTCTAACTCAAGTGTGATCAGACTGTTTTTTCCCCACCTGGAGTCTGCTCACATGCCAGCTGGATTCAAGCTGCTGTTAAGGGGTTGTAAAAGTGTGGCACAAATCCAAGGCACAGCTTTGGATTTTTGTATGTTTTTTTTCCAAAATTCTTTTTTTTTTTTTTCCCCAGCGAAATAAACACCTGCCCAAAGTTGTTGGAACATTTTCATGTTCACTTGGAAGAATTCTGATCTTTTTCTTCATAACTCATTTGTCTTTTACAATAATAAAACCACTGTGGTACTTACCCATTTTGAAAAAGTCAAGACCACCTAGGATTGCACTGATTCCATTTAGATTCATGCTCACAGACTGAAGTTTTTTGTCAAGTGTTAATGGAAACTATACTCAGTTGTTCTCACATGTTGCAGTCATTTTTCTCCAGATATTTTATTGGGTTCTCAGGAAGAGATATAAAACAACTGGATTTAAAAAATGATAATACTTATCATTTTTTTTTGGTGATGAACTGAAGGGCGATATTGGCTAAGGCTAAGGAGGCTAGAAAGATCAGTCAGATCACAGATTTTTTTGAAACGTTGGAGCATCAGTAGATAGTTCTACAGAATTTGGGGGAGATTTCTAAATGAATTCATCCTCTACTTATAGCTACTTATAGCAAATAACTTTTGTAGAGAGTTCTTATTGGATGAAGAACGTGTTTTACTTCCTTTTAGACTCTGTTGGTGTTCAGTTCTCTTCTGGTTTACAGTGGCATTGTACATTTTCCTGCTCCTTTAGACTGAATGCACTTTTTAGCTATGGTCAGCTCTTTTCTTACTTGAAAGGAGGAAAGCAAACTTCAATGTGATGGGCTGTTGTCCGCAAAAAGAGATGTGACACTTGAAATGGCATGTAGCACACGTTAAAGCATAGCTGCATCTCAGAGCTTTGGGATAAGAACTGTTTTTAAGAGCCTTCTATGTTTAGAGTTGGAACAGGACAGTGGGATACTATAAAACTGAATTTCCAGTCTTGAAAAGAGTATTTCCTTCCTGCTATCCCTTCAATTTTAACTAAAAGATGAAAAAAAAAAATGATTGGGGGCTAAGAAGAACCAAGACACTACAGTTTTATAACTGACTTCAAGAGAGTTTTTCAGGTCCTACACAGGGATACCCATGTACTGGAAGGCAGATGATTAACCCTGCGATGGGCGACTGGCCATGCGGCTTTAAGGAAACCGTAAAGCATTTCTGAGGGTGCAGAAATGACCCACTTCCATCTTCTCCCTGGTAGTGAGAACTAACCTGACTTGGTGGTTTTACTAGGAGAAAAATATGCCAACTTTAAAATATTTGATGGCTATTTTACAGTACACAGTTCATGAGGAGAAAAAAAGCCTTATAAATATTTTCTCTTGATGTTAATTCTTACAGTGAATCTAGTTATCTAACATATTTACAAGAGAGATTAAATTAAGCAAGATAATGCAAGATTAAGCTATGAAAAGATAGTTTGTGTTCTGCATAATGCTTTATGATTCATGTAGGGAACCTAGAAATATTGTTAATGTATAAATATCACCCAAAAGGCTTTCAGCCCTATATTTTTAAAATAAAGAGTAGTTATAATTGAAATAGCCTTAGCCCTAGTTCTATAGGGTATGGCTGTTTAATATTTTTATGATTGAAATGTTTAGTTCAGGAAAAAGGTAAATGCTTGTATATATTTTTGCAGTCTGGGATTCCACTTATACCATTTTTTTTTCTTTCTTTAATTTAAATAGCATGTTTATATGTCTTTTCTGCTGTATTAGAATGGGGGAAAGGGAGCTGGATATCCCAAGCACCAGAAATAACTTTCAAATATTGCAATTAAAGAATTCACTGGGGGAAAAAAAAATCTAAAACATTGGATTTGCCCCAAATATAAGAATTTAAAATAAGCTTACTGTGTTAAACAGAAATATTTCTGAAGACAGAATTAAAGATTAGTTGCCCATTTTACTTTGTAAGCATTGTAAGTGCTAACGGATCTGTTAATTTTCTACAGCATGTTGTGTAGAAATAAAAAAGAAACAGAATGAGCCACTGATGCACTCCTCTGTTCTTTTGGTAGCAACTTCATGTGGATAAGCCCATAGAGTATAATATACTGGATAATAAGTCATTCCGAATTGAACTAAAGCAAGATTTTCAGATGAAATCTAGTGCATCTCCCGTTGCTTCAACTGGTTTAGCAGCCTGAGGTCCATAAATTAATTGGGACCATAAATTAATTGGGTCCATAAATTAATTGCACAAGAATATATTCATGTGCAACTGTCAATTGATGCAAATTTCCAAGTATTGGATTAACTTTTATTGAGAATATTGCCTTATGAGAATTAATGAAATGCTGAGCCACTGAGCTAAGATTTAACAAAGCCTTACTGTCTCGGGTAGCTCAGGAAACATCATTGTATTAAGGAAGTGTGCAGGAAATGCACCATGTCTTCATCTGATTTAATATGGAATTTTATTTTTTAATCCAGTTCCTTCTATTAAAACTTGTTTTTTTTTTCCTATTCTCTGTGAAATGTAAAAGGAAAAAAAAAAGATTTTTTTTTTAGTTGGCATTTTTCTTTCATGCTGCACTGGATTTGTAATCTAAGCTCTATTATACTGGTTATCTCCAGCCCCCTCTTTGTGGTATCTTTTAATTTTCTTTCATAATCATCGTTCTGTGTATATGTGCTCTAGTGAACTGGTATACAAACTGGGATCAGCAGCACTGGATTGTAAAATACTGTACTGAAATTTGTTGTTGAGATTTCCTTGCATTGTAATTTCAAATACTCAGGTAACTGTAACAGTATCTCAGTAAGTCAAATACTTTTATAAAACCTACTTAAAGATATGGTTGTCTTGTCGTTATTCCTATGGTGTCACGAAGCAAACGTGTACATACAGACAGATGTTGTGTGTCTGCTCTTCGGGTGCAGGTGAGGCTATGGGAAGTCGTCCTTCAAGCTAACTCCCTTTAGGAATATCTCTTTCCCAAGAACTCTTCTGCCAAGGTCTTCCACATGGAAATTCATTAGACTTCAGCCTTGGCTCATGGTTGTCTTGTCACTGTTAGAATCCCCATCTAGAATAAATCCCAAATTTAGTCCTAAAGGACCTGGGGCTCCTTCCCCCAGGAGGCAGCCAGTCTGCAAACAACCATCTGCTGGTGGCACAGGAGCCGTGGATGGGGCATTTCCTTCCATCTCTGCTGCAGGGATAGCAGTGATGAGGTGCATTTGTGACGAAAGGTCATTTATTTTTTTTTTCCTTTCCTCATCAGAAATGAGGGGAGTGACAGGAACTAGGAAAAAAAATATTAAGAGATTATCTAGAAGAAGAACTCAGGTGCTGGGTGGAAACGTTTTTATGATACTTGATTGTATCCTAGTAGTTGCAAAACAGGTGAAATAGGATGTATCCTTGCAGTGGGAGCAGAGCGGAAGTACTTTGTATCCTTGCGGTTGAAACACGGTATCATCATCCTGGAAGCGGGGCGAGTTGTGCAGCAGGAGGAGCTTTCTCAGATGCTCTATTAATGCTCACCGGGAGAGGTTTGCCGTGTTTCTGGTCTTTACTTATGGTATTTGTCCACAATTGAGAGTATAAGTTCCGTAGGCCTTGGGGCGCAAAAAAAAAAAAAAAAAAAAAAAAAAAAACCTTCTGGGTCCCCGCCTAGTTCTCCTGCAGAGATGTGACTTCGCAGGGCCAGGTGCAGCCATCTCCAGCGTGTTTTGCCTCTTGCCCTGTCCCAGGACCTGCCTGGGAGGAGTCTGGCTCCTGTGCTCCACATGGAATATTAGTCTGGGCTGTTCTGGGACCATCTCCCTGGCCCTTCCCTGGGCTCCCTCCCGTAGCTCCCTGTCCCCTGCAGCTGCGGCTCCGCAGGCAGCGCA